AACAACGTATTTTGATCCAATAATATAAATTTCACGTATTTAAATCATACGTAACCTTTTTTTCTTTTCCTATATTATATGCAAATAATTTTATTATGTTAAAATAAAAAACATAAACGGTGAGTTAGTCGCTGTTGTCGGCAAATTGTCTGTAACTAAACTGCAACATGTGAGAAGTACACAAAGGCCTAGTCAAAAATTATGGTTGGCATTGCAAAAAATCTGCACCGGACGGAGTCTTTCACGTCTCGTCACATCATTATCACATCACAACAACATTCTAAATATATCATACGATGCCATTACGCATAGTATTTTCCACGTCGGATCAGAGACCCCAACCCCCCCAAGTCCTTAGCACTTTTTTCTGGTTTGCCATGCTCCACATCTCTCTTCGCATATCACCCAATATAGTCATCCTTCCTCTCCTTCTTCCTTCTTCCACCATTGTCCAGAGTCTTCTGGATCATCATGACCAACCAACGTAAATATCCAAAACACAAATTTCCCATAAAATTAACACCCACTATACTAAACAAACGAGGCTAAAATCAGCCAACCACAATAATTAATTTAATGGTAACTTTGTTTTTTTTTTTTAAATAACTAATATTATCAACGATCTCTTTTTACTAAAAGTAAAAAATCATGAATTTGAATCGTATAACATGTTTAATAAAATGAAATAAAAAATATGATATGATTATTTTTCATTGCACAACTAAAATAAAAATAAATAAATAAATAACTAACATTATATAGTTAACTATGAAATAAAAGGTCAATATTACTAAAATTATATATAATATTATTTTTTAAAATATTAATTTTATTTAGGTTAAACTCTTAATTTAATCTCTCAATTATTATATGAATTTTTAAGTTAGTGTCTAAACTAAAAAAATTCTTAATTTGATTCATAAAAATTCTGAATTTAACTCTAAATTAATCTTTTTGTTTAAAAATAATTTACATACTCTATTACTAACATGATATGTAACTATCAAATAATGAGATTTTGTGGTTGAATAACAATGAACACACATTAACTATTTTTTAACCAAAGAATCAATTTAAAACTACATTTAAATATTTTAGAGACTAAATTCAAATTTTTTTTAACTTAAAAACTAATTTAAAAATTCATACAGTAATTAAATAACTAAATTTGGAGGTTTAACCTATTTATTAACTTCCCACTGATTTATGCATCATCGATTCCCAATAAAGAGAAAAAGAAAAATAAATATATGTTGCTAGTAAATTATTTTTAAATGAAAATACAAACCATTTAAAAAAAACAAAAGAAAGAAATTAAGATGATAAATAGTAAAACATTCCACGTGCCGTAACTTAGTAGTTACTTGTTATCGCAAAAGATAACCCATGATTTGCGACCTCGAATCCTAAATTTAATACCCTCGTTAACACCTCCAACGTATTAATCCATATCCATTACTTTTATAAAAAAAAAAATAACAAAAAAATTAGGATGATAGATGGTAGCAATCCAAATCCAACAGTATAACACGTGGTAACAGTGTAACCGCCGAATCAAGGGGTCCCCCAATTAGGTTTTTCCAGAAACCAAACGTGCGAAGCCTACTAAACGGAACCCCTCTTCTTCTTCTTCTGCTCGCGTGGAAAATGAAATCCGCCGTGCCAAACGCGGCTTAGCGCTATCGGAAGTTCTTTGCTTTCCTCTAATCACGCAAGCGGAATTATTAGATTGCCGGAAAATCACCATTAATTTCCTTCTACTTTTCCGGATAATCTTCCGCTTCATCCTTAATTTCGTTTGATTAGATAGATTTCCCCTTTATCCCCTCTGTCCAATTTCCCCAGTTCAGACTTCCCCATTTAATGCTTTCCCATTTCATTACCATCAATCCGATATAACCCCACTTTCTTTTCCTCCTTTTTTTCTTTCTCTCTATCATTATTTCATCCTTCTCTGTTTGGATAGATAGAAAAAAAAAAAAAAATGAAACAAGGATAGCAATAACAATATTTCGTTCCAATCATTTTCTTTTCAACAGAAAAAAAAATACCCGATCTTTTCTTCCCTACTCTTCACCCGTTTATCTCTGAATTTTCAGTTTCTTTAGCTGTTTGTTGTTGTTGTTGTATAAAAGAATCCGAGAAATCTCGGTTTCTTTGATACCCATCTCGCCAAACATGGTTCGTCAGACTTTGACGAGATCAGCTCCGGTGAACGGACGGACACAGCCGCTTCTATTCGCGGAGGACAGTACCAAGTCATCGATATCGTCGTCGAGGGCGATGAAGGGGAGGAGGTTTGCAGAGGTGGTGGGTGCGGGGACGGCAGAGTGCGCGGCGGTTTGCTGCTGTTGTCCGTGCACGGTTATGGAGCTACTGGTGCTGGGGTTCTACAGGGTACCCGCGTGGCTGTGCAGGAAGGCGTGGAAGAAGAGGAAACGTCAACGAATTCTGAAGATGAAGAAGAAGCAGGGGGTGATGGGGGGAGGAAACAGGAAGGATCTGGAGGAGACGGAGGAGACGGAGGCGGATCAGGTGGCGGCGAAGAGCCAGATTGGCGTTTCGGAGGCGGAGGCCGTGGAATTGGAGAAGGAGAATGAAACGTTGGAGACATTTTACGGAACTGGGTTTTGGAGAAGTCCGTCGCAGAGAGACATGTGATGGCGTCACGTGATGGTGCAGCGGGAGAATCAGGAATTAATGTGGGGTCAGTCAGGTGGGTCCCAGCAT